TGTCAAGCTTCAAATTAAATGTATGTTTCAGGAACTGAGATAATGGCAAAGTCCTACTGTCTTAAAAAAATTATTATTCCTGGCCAGCGCCGTGGCTCACTAGGCTAATCCTCCTCCTGTGGCACCGGTACCCCGGGTTCTAGTCCTGGTCGGGGCGCCGGATTCTGTCCCGGTTGCCCCTCTTCCAGTCCAGCTCTCTGCTGTGGCCCGGGAAGGCAGTGGAGGATGGCCCAAGTGCTTGGGCCCTGGCACCCGCATGGGAGACCAGGAGGAAGCACCTGGCTCCTGGCTTCGGATCGGCACAGCGAGCAGGCAATAGTGGCCATTTGGGGGGTGAACCAATGTAAGGAAGACCTTTCTCTCTGTCTCTCTCTCTCTCACTGTGTAACTCTGCCCATCCAAAAAAAAATATTATTCCTTATTTATTTGAAAGGCAGAGCAACAGAGAAGGAGACACACACACACACACACACATCCCTTCTGTCCTCTGGTTCACTCCCCAAATGCCCACAATGGCCAGGGATGGATCAGGCTGAAGCCAAGAGCCAGGAACTCTAACCAGGTCTCCCACATGGGTGGCAGGAGCTGAAATACTTGGGCCATCTTCTGCTGCTTTCCCAGGTGCTTAGCAGAGAGCTGGGTGGGAAGCAGAGCAGCCAGGACCCTGGTATGCAACTCCGGCATCTCAAGGATGGCTTAGCCCACTGCGTCATAACGCCCGTCCCTCCAGACCTGCTGTCTTATAGGAGAGCTGAGATTCTGGACCCAGAACTGGTGTGGCCTTGCTGTGTGTTGCTTAAAGAGGCTCCTTAAACTTTCTGAGCTTCCATTTTCCAACTGTTAGGGACATACTCACTTTTTTTTTTCTTTTTTAATTTATTTGACAGATAGAGCTAGACAGTGAGAGAGAGAGAGAGGTCTTCCTTCCATTGGTTCACTCCCCAAATGGCCGCCACGGCCAGAACTACGCCGATCCAAAGCCAGGAACCAGGCGCTTCCCCCGGTCTCCCACAGGGTGCAGGCGCCCAAGCGCTTGGGCCATCCTCCACTGCCCTCCCAGGCCACAGCAGAGAGCTGGACTGGAAGAGGAGCAACCGAGACCAGAACCTGGTGCCCGTATGGGATGCTGGCACTACAGGCAGAGGATTAACCAAGTGAGCCACGGGGCTGGCCCCAGGGACATACTCACTTTTAAATCTCGCTGTCTGAAGGCTTGATCTTTTTAGGAAAAAACAAGGGCAAGTCATCTGTTCCCACTGTTGTTTATACAGTAGTCCCCCATTATCCAGTTTTGCTTTCTGTAGTTCCAGTTATTTGCAGTCAAATGTGGTCCAAAAATGTTCAATAGAAAATTCCAGAAATAATTTGTAAGTTTTAAATTGCATATCATTCTGTGTAGCATGATGAAATCTCACACAATCTTACTCTATCTCATCCTGGATATAAGTCATCCCTTTATCCATAAGTGTCTTCACACGGTATGTGCTACCCACCTATTTGTCACTTCTTCGTAGCTGTCTAGATTTGCAAATAGGCTGTCATGGTATCACAGTACCTGTGTTCAGATAACCCTTTTTGATAGAGAGAGTCTACATTCACTTACGTTTATTATACTATATTATTCTCTTATTGTGCCTACTTTATTTTTTTAAAGATTTATTTATTTATTTGAAAGTCAGAGTTACACAGAGAGAGGAGAGGCAGAAGGAGAGAGAGAGAGAGGTCTTCCATCCAATGGTTCACTCCCCAATTGGCCGCAATGGCTAGAACTGCACCGACCTGAAGCCAGGAGCCAGGAGCTTCTTCCAGGTCTCCCACGTGGGTGCAGGGATCCAAGGACTTGGGCCATCTTCCACTGCTTTCCCAGGCCATAGCAGAGAGCTGGATCGGAAGTGAAGCAGCCGGGTCTTGAACTGGTGCCCATATGGTATGCTACACCACAGTGCCGGCCCTATGCCTACTTTATAAATTAAGCATTACCCTAGGTGAGTGTGCACAGGACTCAACATTTTATATATATATGTATATATATACACATATATATGTGTGTGTGTGTGTGTGTGGTTTGGTACTACCCATATTTTCAGGCATCCACTGGGGGTATTGGAAGCAGAGAAGAGGGGACTTTTTTACATAAAAGTTTAGGAAGTTCCATGGAGCATGTTAAATTGTTTGTTACTTGAATAAGTTCTAAATCCCCTCCAACATGTAAAAGTGTTTGACTCCAATTCAAATATGGTTTAAAGGTTACACTATGTGGTGGGCTCTACTAGGAGGCTGTTGAAGGGAGAAGGCGTTCTGAGAGGCCAGGGAGCTGAGCGGGAAATCATGGTGCTAAGCCCTGGATGGGCCGAAGTAGTTTATGGAGCTCAGCAGCCCAGTGTGGTATCTAGAAAAATCTCTGCACGAAAAATCATCAGCCAAACAATTGCTACCCCAGCTCAGTTCTCTCTGCCGGAAATAGTGCCGTTAAAACGACTTCCAAAGTGTGGGAGAGAAACTTGACGTGTCGTGATGGTGTTCACAGTGGCAGCGCTGTGCAGCCTGGCCACGTAGGCTGGGAGGCGGTACCTGCACCCAGAAATCCACTTCTTCCAGCCACTTCTTGTGTGATCGGATCCCAGGCAAGTTGTTTTACCTCTCAGTGCCTGTAAAAATCAGAGAGCAGTGGTAACCTCACAGGGCTGGTATGAGGAATAGCTAATAAAATGTGATAGTGACACACCCAATTTAAATGCAAACGGCTGTAAAACAACAAAAAGCATATTTAAACATTTCCACTGCTGGGAGGTGGGGTGGGAAGGAGACAATAGGGCTTTGAGAGGAGAGCATTTCTTTTGCTCTGTAGTGTACACTTCAGTTAATCAATGAATGTTTATTATTCTGTGTAGCCACACTGTGCTAGGCTCTGGGAAATACAGAACCGTCTTGGTTCTCATGAAATTGGTAGTCAGTCATTCCAGGAACGCTATGTAAAGCCTATTGGAAAATATTCTAAATTACAGTTCCCCCTCTCTCTTCCTCTAATATTTGCCGAACTGTCTGCATGAGATAGTGCTGGGAGCTTCAGGAGACACCAAGTCTGATTAAACACATCATTACCCTTGAAGGGTTTGAAACCTCATCTTAAACAGGAGACATATGGGAAAAGGCAGATAGTCCAGGGCAGTGCCTAATGCCAAGAAAATATTTGCCTTTTTCTTTGAATTGTGTTTCTTTCCCATTTGAGGAGCTCCCATTGGTTCTTCTGTCTTGTCCCAAATGGCATGATTTCCTGTTTTTCCCCTTTTTTCTTTAAAATTTGAATAATAACATACACTATAATATATATAATATATATAATATTTCAGAAAGTTCATGGAAAAAATAGGATGAAAAACCAAGTTTGTTTCTGCTTGAAAAACATTTTTGAAATTAATGCATTTTTTAAAATATGCGTTATAAAAAAGTTCCATGAACTTTTTTGCAACCATACTATATATATAAATGTGTATATATATGTATGTATGTAACACACACACATACAGAGTCATGCAGCACATAACAATGTTTACATCAATGGCAGATACCATATATGATAGTGATCCCATAACATGACATTGCCTAGAGACATCATAGCCATCTTAGTTTGTGGAAGTACACTCTGAAGTGGTCATACTATGGTGAAATCACCTAATAGCATATTTTTCAGAATATATATATATATATATATATATGTAATTTTCTTCATTCATTCATTGACAGGCATTCCAAATTCTGTCCATATCATGACTATTGTGAATAATGGTGCAAAGAACACAGGAGTGTAGATACGTCTTTGACATAATGATTTCATTTATTTGCATGTATACCCAGAAGTCAGATGGCTGAGTCATGTCGTATTTCTGTTTTTAATTTTTTGGAACCTCCATTCTGCTTTTCTTCAATGTCTATACTAATGAACATTTCCACCAAAATTGTGCAAGGGCTCCCTTTACTCCATATCCTTGCCAGCTTATCTTTGGCCTTTTTGATCTTAGCCATTCTAACAGGTTTCTGAGGTGGTATCTCATTGTGGTGTGTACTCTCTGTGTCTGGCTTTTTGTAACTGTCATGTGCTTCTGACAGTTCACATACCTTCTTTTATTTTTTCTTTAAAGATTTTTATTTATTTGAAAGTCAGAGTTACACATAGAGGAGAGACAGAGAGAGGGGGAGAGGGAGAGAGAGAGAGAAAGGTCTTTCATCTGCTGGTTCACTCTCCAATTGGTTGCAATGGCTGGAGCTGTGCCAATCTGAAACCGGGAGCCAGGAGCTTCCTCTGGGTCTTCCCACACGGGTGCAGGAGCCCAGGAACTTGGGCCATCGTGTACTGCTTTCCCAGGCCATAACAGAGAGCTGGATTGGAAGAGGAGCAGCCAGGACTCGAAATGGCACCCGTATGGGATGCCAGCACTGCAGGCGGTAGTTTTACCCACTATGCCACAGTGCCGGCCCCCATATATCTTCTTATGAAATGGCCAATGCTTTTACCCAATTTTAAATGTACTGTTTTGTATTTTTGACTATTTGGGGAAAAAATCTTTCCTCATTGAATTACATTGGTGCCTTTGTGAAAAATCAACTGAGTATATATGTGGGGATAATTTGTGGACTCTATTACTGTTCTACTGATTTTGTCAACCCTTACCTCAGTATCACACTGTCTTGATTATTGTAGGCTAAAAGCAATTTTTATATTCATCTTCTATTGCCACAAGCTATGCTTTGAATATATTTATCCTCCAAAATTCTATGTACTAGAGGCTTGTCCCCAGTGTTGTGGAGTGAAGTGGTGAAATTTTTTAAGAGTTGGGCAGTAGAGGGTGATTCAGTTTGTGAGAGGAATTAATACTTTCCTTTAAGGAGTGCATTTTTAGCCTCCTGGAAAGTCCCACAAGAGCAGGCTGTTATAAGCAAGCCTTGTGCCTTCTCTGAATCCCTCTACATCCATCAGTCATCTCTGCCACATGCTTTTGTAGATGCCGTCTCTCCCTGTGATGCCATCTCCATGAGGCCCTCACCAGAGCCGAGCAGATGCTGGGGCCATGTCCTTGAATCTTCAGGACTGTGAGTTAAATATCTTTTCTTTATAAAGTACCTAACCTCAGGTATTTTGTTATAGCAACACAAAATGGACCAAGATACTACTTAACAACTTTTCCCAAAATCTACCAGTGCAAAACAACAAATGCTGGTCATTTCGTACTGCTTCTGAGAGTTGGGAATTTGAGAACAGTTAAAGCTAGATGGTCTGTCTTCGGGTCTCTTGGGAGGTTGCAGTCAAGCTACAGGCCAGGACTGCAGTCACCTGAAGATGGGACTGGAACGGGAGGGTCTGATCCCAAACTCTCTAATGTAACTGTTGGCAGAAGGCTCGGTTCCTTCCTGGCTCCCTGTCAGTGGTTGCATTTCCTCCTCCTGTGGGCCTCTCCATAGAACTGTTCATGACAGAGGACCTGGCTTTCTTCAAATCAAATGACCCAGAGAAGGAGAGTCAGAGAGAGGGAGGGCTGGGGGCTGGGGGCAGGGAGTAGTGTGAGAAAAAGAGATGGAGGGAGAGAGGCAGTTCAAGATGCCTTGGGTAACTGACTCTTGGGATCAACCTACTACCACTTCCGTCACGTTCTGTGGGCCACACACACCACCCCTGACACAGTGCAGGAAGAGATTCCACAAGGAGTGAACATCAGGAAGTAGGGAACAGAGGGAGCCATCTTGTGGGCTGGCTACCAGTTTTGAAGTCACATAGTCTAAGTTATCTAACTCAATTTTTCTTTTTCTAGATAGTTTTGGTTGCTCTAGATCCTTTGCAATTTCTTATAAATTTTAAAATCAGCTTCTAAAAAAAAAATTGCCCTACCCAGGTTTTCACTGGGATGGCATTGAATTTCTAATCAATTTGGAAGAAATTGATATCATCAGTTTTGTTCCATAGATGAAAAGGCTATCTCTTTTTACACCTTCTTTCGTTTCTTTCAGTCGTGTTAGTTTACAGTGTAGTCGCACTACATGTATTTCCTTACTCTAAGTGTTTTATGTTTTCTGATACTATTTTAATGATAGTTTGAAAAAATTTTTCAAATATTTATTGCTAATATATAGAAATAAAGTAGGTTTTTTTAAACTGGCTTTATATCCTACAACTTTGTCAAAGTTACTTACTAGTTGTAGAAGTCACTTTATGGAGAGTTCTTAGGACTTTTGATGTAAACAATAAAATAATTTAAAATCAGTTTTCTTACTTTCCAAATATTATTCCCATTATTTATTATTATTATTTCAATATTTATTCTTTCACTTCTGTTTCTTAACTTTTCATTGGCAAACATTTTCTGTTAAGAGCTCAGTAGGAAATATTTTAGGTTTTGCAGGCCACATGGTTTCTGTAATAACTACTCAACCATGCTGTCGTCCAAAAGCAGCCATAGACATCATGTGAATGAATGAATGTGACTGTTACTAATAAAATTTTATCTCCCTGGGTGGGTGGCCAAGCTGGATTTGGCCCCTTTAAAAGTTGCATGTCATAAAGATTAAGGAAAAATTTAGAGATTATTCCAAATTGAAGGATAGTAAAGATACCTGACAACTAACTGTAATTCATTTTTCTGGATTAGATTATTTGCTATAAAAGACATTACTGGGACAATTGATGACACTTGAATGGGTCTGAAGATTAGATGGTAGTTATGTATTGCTATTAATTTTCTGGTTTTTATGGCTGTGCAATGATTAGGTAGGAATGCATCACTGTATATAGAAAACTCACCCTCAGATACTGGAAGTGACAGAACATCACATTGGCAGCTTACTCTCAAACCATTTGGGAAGAAGTTTCTTTATGTTATTCTTACAAAACAAAAATGTGGGGCTGGCGTTGTGACTCAGTAGATTAATCCTCCACCTGCGGCGCCAGCATGCCATATGGGCACCAGTTCTAGTCCCGGCTGCTCCTCTTCTGATCCAGCTCTCTGCTGTGGCCCGGGAAGGCAGTGGAGGATGGCCCAGGTCCGTGGGCTCCTGCACCCACGTGAGAGACCCGGAAGAAGCTCCTGGCTCCTGGCTTTGGATCGGTGCAGCTCCAGCCGTTGCGGCCATTTGGGGAGTGAACCAACTGAAGGAAGATCTTTCTCTCTGTCTCTCCTTCTCACTGTCTGTAGCTCTACCTCTCAAATAAATAAATAAAATCTTTTAAAAAAACCAAAAATGTAATATTGGGCCATAGTGTAAGGAGTGATTAAAAATCCATAGCATATGAGAAGGGTGAAGCCAGAAATGGTGAGGATACCTAAGCACCCTAAGGTGAGGTTCGAGTTCTGGATGGAGCTGGGCTTTACCCATACAGTCCACTATATGTTTATATGCATTTCACTTTATAACTACTCAGTAGAGTAAGATCAGTGTCCTTGCTATGTGTTGTTAGATATCCTTCACCTTCCAGATGAACCATATGTAGTTCATATGTACAATATTTAATACATAATGTTCTGAATTGATAAAAATTGTTTTAATTTTTTTTTGACAGGCAGAGTGGACAGTGAGAGAGAGAGAGACAATGGCTGCTGAGGCTGGTGCACTGCGCTGATCCGAAGCCAGGAGCCAGGTACTTCTCCTGGTCTCCCATGCGGGTACAGGGCCCAAGGATTTGGGCCATCCTCCACTGTCTTCCCGGGCCACAGCAGAGAGCTGGACTGGAAGAGGAGCAACCGGGACAGAATTCGGCGCCCCGACTGGGATAGAACCTGGTATGCCAGCGCCGCAGGTGGAAGATTAGCCTATTGAGCCACGGCGCCTATCCCCACCATCACTGAGAAATTAAGAATTGTAACCTATTTTCACAGCTGAGAAACCAGAAGTCGTTAATAGCAGAGAAGTTTCTGTGGTTTAGATCCAAAACAGGGCTCTGATATAAATTCGAGGCTCTTTCCATGAACCCAAACGGTCCTAGTTTTGACCCCCAAAATCTTGTTGCCTTGGATAAATTATCTATTTGTAGAATCTCCTGGAATCACAGTGGACCTTAAAAATCATGTAGCCTAACTTCCGATCAGAGAACTTAGGACCTGCATACATTCATAACCTAACATGACATGCACACTTTACGAAGACTGTTTCCTCCTGTGATAACAGTCTGCTGTAACAACGCAAGACAGCACAAGGAAAAGACCTCCAAAACTCTCACGTTCCAAACTTAAGTAACATGTCTCATTTAGCTCTCTCCTTTTGCTGAACTTTCCTTGAATTTTTTAAAATTTACTCACTTGATAGAGAATGAGGCAGATAGGCACACACACACATGCACACACACACACACACACACACAGAGCTTCTCCCTGTGGGAGCAGGAAGGGAGGGCACGCTGGGAGCTGGGAACTCAATGCAGGCATTGAACTCCAGTATGAGATGTGGGCATCCTCACTGGCATCTTAGCTGCTGGTCGGATGACTGCCCCATCCGTTACTTTTTAATAGCTTTTCATGGATTTCTCCTAATCCCTATTCTTGGTCCTTAGGATCCCCTTATTAAATCATTTTAATTTTTTCTCATTGTGGTAAAATATACCATAAAATTTGCCACTTTAACTGTTTTTAAATGTACAGCTGAGTGTTGAGAACCATCACTGCCATCTGTCTCAAACCTCTCTCTCTTCCCAGACTGAACCTCTACATATTAAACACTAATTCCCCATTCCCCCACCAACAAGGCTCCGGAAAACACCATCCTATGTTGTTTCTGTGACATATACTACTCTCTCCGCACCTAAAATAATTGCAATCAAACCCTAGTTGTCCTTGGGTGATCAGCTCATTTCACTTAGTGCAATGGCGTCAAGGTTCATAGTGTATGTCAGAATTTTTTTTCCTTCTTGAGGCTGAATAATATCCAATTGTTATATATATCACACATTTTGTTTCTCCATACGCTCACTGGTGGACGTTTGGTTACTTCTACATTTTGGCTGTTGAGAACAATACTAAGAACATGGGTATGCAAATATGTGTTGGAGTCCCTGCTTCCGTTGCTTTTGGATATATAGGCCGAAGTGAAATTGCTGGATTATATGGTAATTCTATATTTAATTTTTTGAAGCATTATCTTACTGTTTTCCTTAGCACGTACACCATTTCACATTCCCACTAGCAATGAAATGGGCTCCAATTTCTTCACATTCTTGCTCTTGTTATTTTCTGGATTTTAAAAATAATGTCCATCCCATGACATCTCATTCTAATTTCTTTTAAATATTTATTTATTTTATTTGAAAGAATTACAGAGAGAGAGGGAGGGAGATATTCCATCTGTTGGTTCACTCCTCAAATGGCCAAAATAGCCAGGGTTGGGCCAGGCTGAAACCAGGAGCCAGGAGCTTCATCTGAATCTTCCACGTGGGTGCAGGGGCCCAAGCACTTGAGCCATCCTCTGCTGCTTTCCCAAGTGCATTAGCAGGGAGCTGGATCAGAAGTGGAGCAGCCAGGACTTGAATCAGTGCCCATATGGGATGCCGGCACTGCAGACAGAGGCTGAACCCACTTTACCACAGTGTCAGTCCCTCATTCTAATTTTTAAATGCCCACTACTATGAGTTGAAGTGTGTTGCCCCCCAAAACCATATGTCGAAGGTACACTGACATCCTGATCTCCAGGACTCAGAATGTGTCTGGAATAGGATTGCTTCAGATGTAATGAGTTAGGATAAGGTCACACTGGTAGAAGGGCCCCTAATCCAATATGACAGTCTTTATAAGAAGACGACTTCTGGAAACAGCTGCCACCTGGAGATTGCCACCTGCCAATACAGGTAGAGGTTAGAGTTATTCTGCGGCAAGACGAGGCTTGCCAAATATTGCCAGCAAGCCTCCAGACACTAGGAAAGACAACAAAGGACTCGCCTATAAGTTTCCAAGGGAACCTGGCCCCACCAGCACCTGGGTTTTTCACTTCTAGCCTGCAGAAGCATGCGACACCAATCCGTAGCATTTTGTCATGGCAACCCCAGAAACTGATCCACCCAACTTGCCTTTGAAGTCCAGCCATCGAGTCCTCCTCAGGCCCTCTAATAGCTTTCCTCTTGGTTCTCAGAAAGTCTGGTCCTGGGATGGCTCTGCTCTTGCCTTCTTCCCATTGTGTACTCAACACATTCATTCAATAAATATGCTTTGAGGTTCCACTATGTGCTGAGCACTGTTTTAGGAGCTAGCAATGTGATAACATCATTTAAAAAAATTTATTTATTTATTTGAAAGTCAGTTACATACAAAGAGAAGGACAGGCAGAGAGAGAGAGGGAGAGACACGGAGACATCTTCCATCCGCTGGCTCACATCCCAAATGGCCACTGCAGCCAGAGCTGCACCGATCCGAAGCCAGGAGCCAGGAGCTTCTTCAGGGTCTCCCACGTGGGTGCAGGGGCCCAAGGACTTGGGCCATCTTCTACTGCCTTCTCAGGCCATAGCAGAGAGCTGGATCGGAAGAGGAGCAGCTGGGACCTGAAACAGCACCCATATGGGATGCTGGCACTGCTGGGGAGGCCTCGCTCGCCACGCCAGCCCCTGTGATAACATCTTAAAAGCCTTTTTTCTCTCGTAGCAATCGTGCACAGTTTTGATTTCTTACAATATCCCCTAAATTGTTAATAAATTTCATGAGAATGTTTCATATTTCTACCCTCTTTTTGAAACTCTCAAAGCCAAAAGTCTTTCTCTGGTTTCAGCTTAGGTTTAGAACTTTCTCACATCAAATGGCACTTTTAATTTCACAGCCACAGTTCGTCAGATGGAAACGACAGCATGTCAGAATTCTGGAAATAGGATCTATTATAACACATCTTTTCTGCAAACTTGATGTGCTACAATTTTGTGCATGCTTTGAATAGTATTTATGTGAACTGGGGTGTGAGTGTTTTGTAAAATAGACATTATTAATTTTTATTTCCCTCTTCATCTCTCTTGCTAACTGCTAATTCAGCATCAGCTGGCTTCTTAATTCAGATTAAGCCAATAGGACAGAAAACTCACTGGCTTATTTTCTGTCCCCATGGGGAAGCAACAGGGAGAGAATGACCTTGGCAGGGGAGGGGTGAGAGGGTGCCCAGGCTGAGGTGTGCAGGGTTTGCCTGGGATTAGATCTGAGTGGTCTGTCCATCTTGATGTTTCTCTGTGCAGTTCAAGTTCCTTCTGAAATCTCAGAGGGGAATGTCAGCAGAGAGATGAGAGACCCAATCTGATAACGGGCCTGTCTAAGGAAACATCTGCAAGTGAGACTATCAAGAACGTTCTAGAACACTGCAGAACTCCACCTCAGACACCAGGCCCAATCACCTGTAAACAAACAAATGCACCTGGGATAAAGTTCAACCAAAGCTCTCAGCAAAAGTTCTATCAAAGTGTGAGTGAGTCAATGGTTTCACAGTGACTGCTTCTAATAGCTCAAGACAATTCAAAGGTGAGCATTCTGTCAACTACGCCCAACTCCTAATGGTGTCTTTTTAGAATAAAGATGGAGAGAAGAAGAAGAGGGAAGAAGGAAGGAAAGGAAGGTGGGAAGAAGGAAAGGAGGAGGAGAGATGTTCAATTTCCATATGTGAATATACACAGTGTGTGTAAAGCAAGTACGATCTGTCCATGAAACCTACAGTGCTTGTGTCACCTCCACAGCCGTTGCTGACAAACCAAAGCATTACTGAGGCCGTGTGTGCCGGGACATGTCTAGACAGCAGCAGAATAAAGACGGGGTCAGCACTGCAACATGTTTCAGTCACTTCCCCAGGCAGAGTTAATCACCCAGCCGCAGTGCTGCAGGTGCTCATGGCGAGGCACAGAGGCGAGGGACTAGAAGGTTCAAGCTCAAGACCCGACTTGGCAGAGCCATTGCCGTCAGAGGACCCCTAAATGGGAAAGCGGAGCAAGAGAGGGCGAGGGTGTGCTCCTTAGAACAAGCCATTCAGCAACCCAGGGCACCCTTGCTGCCCTCCAGGAAAGCGGTCAGAGTATCTGTAGAGTGTCACAGGTGCCTGACACAAAGCAGGAGCTTCACCTGCCATGGTGTCCCCACCCCCCACCCCCCCCCCCCACCCCCCACCCCCGTCACCTCCACAGAGGGGAGTATTGCTCATCCTTCCCTGCTGGGGCCGACACCCTTCCTCTGCCTCCTCCAAGCAGATCTGGGAGTGGCCAACAGGGAACAGATCCTGCTGCTGGGTGTTGGGGCCAGGCAGAGAGAGAGAGAGGACACCGTGTGACCTTGGGTGAAAGACTCAACCCTGTGCCGGCTTGGTTTCAGCAGCCACGTGCAGATGCTAATGACCTCTACCTTATGTCTGTGCAAGACTTAAATGAAGAAACACGTTTTAAATGCTTGGCACATAACACATGCTTCACAAAGACTGGTTATCATTATGGACTTGGCACAGAGCAAAGGCTCAATAATGAGAGTCATTATTCTTATTTATCCATTAAGAAATGAATTACCAGGATAAAATCATCTCCATCAGTATTGAGCTCTGGTCTCATTTTTTAAACCCCTGTGCCAACCAGTAAGCACATAATTTGTATCAGTTGGCAGGTGTGCCCAGGGAATAACCCATCAGAGCTATCACTCTGACCTGGTATGGGAGTCCCCTGACCCAGGTAGGAGGTGGGGGGAAAGGGTGACTAGAAGCAGGGAGACTTTTTGCTTACAGCAGGGACACAAAATAACAGCCTATGGAAACTACCAGGCTTCCTTTATCATTCATTCATTCATTTGGTAATTATGCATTGAGCTGTTACAAGCGTTGATTGACATTCAGAATGGCACCCCAAGAAAGAAATTTTTGATCCAGTAGGAGAATCAGAGCAAGAAGGAGATCCAGTCAACCTGTAATTATTCACAGATACCTGCTTTGGTGGGAA